TTCTTCTCCATAGTAAAGAGGTGGATTTTTCAAATGTTTGCATTTTATTGTAAAAACAGTGACCTTTGTGGGGATGTGTGTCATCTTTGTTCTCTGGTTTCAGGATCACCAGATGAATTAACTCATTCTACACTGGAAAAACAAGACACTAACTACCCTGATATAAAGAAATCTCAATTGTACCTTAAAATGATGTCACTAGAAGTCTCTTTCAGCCATTAGTGGTATGGTACCAACTAACAAACCTTAGAGAACACATGACTTGAGGCTAGGAAGAGCACAAAAAGAAAAGATCGAAATTCTGTAGAATTTCCAGATGCAACTGACTTTACTTGAACACAACTGCAATGGATCCTTGGTACCACAATGACTCCCCCAAACCGTGCCCCCTCCACCTCCTGGCTTCAAATTATGAGCAATAGCAGCCAGGACTGATGGCTTTGATGAAAAATATCTTGTCTTCCAATGCCATGAATTTGTTAGTGCTTCCATTGATGTGGGAACTTTCCAGGTAACTCTTGACACATTTGAGGCTAAACACTTTTAGAGACAATGTTTCTGTCTGCCGTGACCTAGATAGCCAGACAGGGAGATCTGGATTTAAGGCTGAGAAAAACAACCAAGTCACTAAATAACACCTCTCCGTATATCTTCTTAATGCTGTGGCCCTTTAATACAGTTACACATGTTGTGGCAACCCACAACCATAAAATTATTTTCGCTGCTTCTTCATACTATAGTTTTGACACTGTTGTGAATTGTAGTGTAAATATCTGTGCTTTCCAATAGTCTTAGGGAACCCTTGTGAAAGGTCTCGGCCCACAGGTTAAGAACAACTGCTCTATACCATCTTCTCCATATGAAAAGAGAAAAAAGTGGGGTCTTCAATTTAAATCCTGGGCTTCCATGTTATAAAAGTCTTCCACTATTGATCAATTGCAAGGTAGAGGAGAAAATTCATTTTGAAAGCCACCCCAAACATACTGTGACTTAGCTGTCACTAAGAGAATTAAAACATAGCTCTAATCAATATCCCTTGCTAGAGAGCCCTTGTTTGGAATTCCTCTTTGGTACGCAGAGTGAATTTGGCCTGCAGAGTTTTGCTCATGGGGCATCTGCTCTTGTACAGCCCATTCTCTCCAGACACATAAGGAAAACCGATGCCTGGACCAGTTATCTGGCTAGTGTGGGACGAGATGCCTAGACCAGGCTCCTCTGCCTCTGGTGAGACTGGCAAAAGAGTCAGTTTTGTGGAAATTGCAGTTACCTTTCTCAGTCTACTTCTGGGGCCGGTTAGATGCTGGAGCTCCTGAATCCCCATTTCTAAGACCATCACTCAAATACATCAAGACTCATTAGAGGCTACCAGAGATTGTTACACCCAAAGTCTTAGACACAGACAGTTTTGTTTGCATAGCGAGGATTTTGCTTGCATGTTTTCCATTTCTATTTGGGAAAGCTTGAAGGACTGGTGGAGATTTTATCGGGTGCCAAGGTCCCCTTAAGACCCTCCTGAAAATAATCACTCTTGCTGTCCTTGGCAAGTGTGAGAGAATCGTTGGGTGGATTTATTTTTAAATGTCAAAATATTGTTAAGATCCTCAGGCCAGGTGGAAGCAGCATACGCCTTTAATCCCAGGACTGGAGGCAGAGGCAGGTGGATCTCTGTCAGTTCAAAGCCAGCCTGGTCTACAGAACGGGCTCCAGGACAGCCAGGGCTAACACATAGAAACCCTATCTTGAAAACTAAAAACAAACAAACAAGAACGAAATTCCTCATGTGTTCAAATTTAGCCATCCACTGGGTCAGTGTGTTATTGGCATCAAAGTCTTGATGAGTACAGCCACCCCTACATGGCTTTTCGAGCACTCTACCAAGCCTACTGCTCAAGTTCAATACATATTAACCAAATCATTACAGGGAAAATGGAGCACTGTGGATTTGGTCCATTCACATTAACCTGTGCCCTTGAGCTCACAGCACTGCCCACAGGGATAATGGTGAGCCTCTCTGGGGCTGGCGTTATTTAGTCAGACCACAGACGAGACTTTGGGTGCAGGCTGCTTTGGACCTGCTGTAGCAGTTGCTCTGCAGGGTGGTTAGTTCAGAGAGTGATGCCTCTGCTCTTGTGGGAAAACATTGGTCAGAGAGACTCACAGACCTGGGTTCCAATCCCGACTATGCCCCACCGTTACTGTGCCATCTTCTATAACTTGCTTAGCTTTTCTGCGTCTCCGTTTCCTTATTTCCAAGTAACAATACCCACCCCTCTTGGAGGATGGAATACTCTAAGTACAAAGGAGTCTGGCATTTGAGGACTCTCACATAAATTTTCTTCCACCACCCACCTTCCAGGTTGAACAAGGCAGAATGGTTCACATTTGAAAGCAATAGTTGAAGTTGCAGAGGGCATGGGCATTGTGACCCTTATGCCTAGAAAGATGCACAGCCTCACTTCTGAAGGTGGGGAGAGAACCTGGGTATGCTTCGTGGTCAACAGTACTCTGTGAGTGCTGGTAATTCCAGGAGCATCTAGGGACAGTGTGAGCTCCACCTAGTTTTACCTTTAAGTTCCTTCTCCATTCCTTCTTACTCCTTTCCTGAACTTTCTCATGTTTGTCCTGGAAACCTCACATCAGGATCCCACCTCATCCCTGACTGGCACTCAGGCAGGCCACAAACACAATGCCTCACTGTGACCTGAAAGGTGGCATTGTTGCCAGTAATAACCTCTGTGTTTCTAAAGTCTGCCTCAGGGCAGCTCATCTTGTGCAAAACCCCTTATTAATGAGCAGCTCTGACTGCAGTATTGACAGTGGAGATAGAGGAGGCCCATATGAGTCATTTTCCTGAGACTCAAGACAGGGATCAGAGATCAGCCATCAGCTTAGAGCATCCCAGCCTTGCCCTGCCGAATGTACCTACTCTGCAATAAAGCACACAGGACAGAAGCGGGTGTCCTGAGGTGGAGACCAGATTCATACATAAAGCTTTTCCTAGGCTCTGCCATCTTCTTAGGAAACTGGAGAGTTGGATCGCTCAGTGCCTTCTGTCTCCTGGTGGATGGAAGGATTGTGTGCAATCTTTTTTTTTTTCTGGTTTTTCGAGACAGGGTTTCTCTGTATTGTCTTGGAGGTTGTCCTGGAACTCGCTTTGTAGACCAGGCTGGCCTTGAACTCACAGAGATCCACCTGCCTCTGCCTCCCGAGTGCTGGGATTAAAGGCGTGCGCCACCAACGCCCGGCGGATTGTGTGCAATCGTTAAAACATCTCTGATGTACAGAGGGATCCAGGCTGAACTTCTTCCTCCACTCTGGGAAATGTGCTTTGCCTAGAATAAGAATGTCCTTTTCATTTCCTGTGTGTGCTTTCATTTCTTATAAGTGTGGGGGAAAAAAGATGCTGTCTCCTTGGAGATACGTTTACCGACAGCAAAACCCTTTTCTCCAACTTCCTTAGAAAGTTTGGGAAGCAGAGGCAGGCAGATCTCTGTGAGTTCGAGGCCGGGCTGGACTGACAGCCTCCAAAGCAATACAGAGAAACCCTGTCTCGTAAAAAACCAAAAAAAAAAAAAAAAAAAAAAAAAGAAGAGGTAAACAGAAAGTTTGGGAAGCAACAGAGCTAAAGAGATGGCTCAGTCAGTAAAGTGCTGAGCATGCAAACGAGAATACCTCAGTTCAGATTCTCAGCACCCAGCTAATATTTGGGAGGCAGACAAGAGTATCGCTGGTCAGCTGTTCTCGCCTAAGTAGTGAACTTCAGGTCCAGTGAGAGACCCTGTCTCAAAAAACAATGTGGAGGTCAAAAGAGGAAGATAACTGATGCTGACCTGAGACCTCTACACATACATGCATGCTCACACAGAAAACAATGGGGACAATGAGCACCAGACTGCTGCTCCCTGACTTTATGTTGCTCTTCTATAGCAGGCAGTTACCCTGTTAGAGGTAAACTTGGAGCCAGAAGCCAAGTTCATCTGTCACAGTCAAGTGACATGATGGTACAAGATTGTGTGACATCTTTGTGTGGCACTCCTGTGATACCAGAGTGTGGAAATCAGTATTTCATCTGAATTATCCCTTCAGAAATGAGCTAGAATTTCCTGTTCATTTCTCCTTTCTAGGCCAATCATTGGCATTTTATTCTCAAATTTGGAAGACGCGTGCCCAATATCATTTTAGGTATCCAGAAATGGTCCACCAAATAGATGACTCCAGTACAACCCGGGGGTTCATTAGATTCATTAATTCATCATTCTCAATAAGCACTTTGAAGTCCTTTTATGGAAGGAGCCACCTAAATCCAAAGTATGACTATAATCAAGTCTAATGAGGCCAATGGTTTAAAGAGAGGCCTTTAAATCATATATAAAGTTCCTCTACCAATCATTGGCACAGGACAACAGCAGATGAGCTTGATGAGTCTAAGCACTGGTGTTTAAAAGCTTCCTTCTTGGTGGTGGAACCACACTGAGGTCTGCTCAGTTGGATGAAGCCAGAAGCACAGAGAGTCACTGTCTGATGGGTTCTTCAACTGTTACAACTATGTTATAAAACATATTATAGTAAAGGCCACCACTCTGTGAAATCTTAACCTGCTGGCTTCTGCCACTAACAGCTTCTTCTCTCTGGGAGGTTGCAAAGGAGGTAAGTGCTAGCTTTCTGTATCTTATGAAACATAGGAGATGCTTTGTCAACCAAACCAAGGGAAGAAATAGAATACAGCAAACCTCTGCTAGGTGTGCGTGGGGTGATCTATGTAAGATGTGACATCGGCACTGGGAGTTACGCTGTAGGAGAGTGCTCTAAGGACGCACATACTTGAAGCTGCAGGAACGCTGGTGTAGAACTGGAAAATAGATGTTGAATTGGAAATGATTCTAAGCTTTTTAATTTATTTTTAAATCACAGGAACTTCCTGTTAAGAAACTTACACATTTTAAAATTAATCTGTTTCTATTTCAAACCAGAACAGGTCCCAAAGGATAAGGGTCACGACCATGCTACCCTCGGTGGTGTTCTGGGGACTTGTTGCCCTCATTGGTAAGTAGTTGATTGGCATTTTCCCTTATGTGCAGGGTGTCTGTTTTCTAGCATAGTCAGAAAGGACAATGATTATATGCAACAGAGGAGTGGGCTCTCCTAACCTGCCTGGTCATTAACCAACTGCTTTGTTTGTTTGTTTTTGTGTGAAATAGCCTTCCAGTTTTGTATAGAATCAGGTTTTTCTTTTTCTGTAATTCCTAGTCAATTTCATTTTTTTAAACTATAGTGGCATTTATATGCCTCCAAAGTAAAAACTGTTCGAAACTATACAAAACATTTAGAAACATCTAGTCTCTAACCCTGTCTCTTCGGCCCTTTTACCTTCCCCTAACAATTCTCATTGGTCTTTGGTTCATCTTTGTATTATCTCTTTAAAGATATAAGTAGATTGTACATGAACACATAACTATATTTTTTCCTTTCCTTACGTGGAATATGAAAATGCTGTTGTAGAAATGTGTCGATACAGCCATCTTATTTTTAGTGTGCTTGAATATCTTTTGTATGCTTAAAGATGCTTTCCTCTTTCTCTGTGCATTCTGTTTGTCCCCTTTACTGCTCATGTGATGTTTGGATGTAACTGAAGGCTGTGCAGTACCAAATCACATAGATATTAGAGGAGTCGGACTCTCGGCAAACCGAACAACCCATGCAAAGGGCTTGCGGGAGAAGCCTGCCGGAATGCGGGAAAGCAAGCACAGGGAATACTTGAATACCAGAAAGGGAGGGGGCTTGGGAAGGAGCCATGCGCCCAGTGAAACATGGTAGAGGTGAATGAAGTATCCAGACTTGGCCACCTCTCCCAATGTGATGGAAATTCATGAAGGTTAAGACAGGTAAGTTCCATAGGTGTTCCCACTCTGGCAGCCAGGTGGAAAAGAGTGGAGCTGAGAGGTCAGCCAGGAGGCGTACCCAGTACCAGATAAGCAAAGACACTGTTTTGGCCATAGTGGTAGCACGGCAGGAAAAAGGTAGACTTTACATGCATCTCTGTTATAGGAATCCATTATTCCTTCACTCAGAAGTACAGTTGTGATACTGGAGTGATGACTCAGTGGTTAAGAGCACTGGCTGCTCTTCCAGAGGACCTGGGTTCAATCCCCTGCATCCACATGGCAGCTCACATCTGTAACTCCAGTTCCAGGGGAATCTGATACTTTTACACCAATGCACACAAAATAATGTTAAATGGACTATTTTTTTTGAGACAGGGTTTCTCTGTATTGTTTTGGAGCCTGTCCTGGAACTCACTCTGTAGACCAGGCTGGCCTCAAACTCACAGAGATCCGCCTGCCTCTGCTTCCTGAGTGCTGGGATTAAAGGAGTGTGCCACCAAAGCCCAGCCTAAATGGACTATTTTTTAAAAAAGTACATTTGTTCCCAAGTATCAGGGTGTTGGTTCTATGACTCCAGTGAATACCAAAATCTGAGGATGCTCCATCCCTTATCCAAATAAAATGGAATATGATTTGCATAGGTACCCATACACCTTTTGTATTTTAAATCATCCTTAGTTTTTTTTAATGTTTAATACTTATCTAGTGTTAGAGAGATGGCTCAGAGGTTAAGAGCATTGCCTGCTTTTCCAGAGGTTCTGAGTTCAATTCCCAGCAACCACATGATGGTTCACAACCACCCATAATGAGATCTGGTGCCCTCTTCTGGCATGTAGACATACTTGTGGGCAGAACACTGTATACATCATAAATAAATAAATCTTTAAAAAAAAAGCCAGGTGGTGGTGCTTTTAATCCCAGCATTTGGGAGGCAGAGGCAGAGGCAGGCAGAACTCTGTTTCGAGACCACTGATCTACAAGAGCTAGTTCCAGGACAGCTTTCAAAGCCACAGAGAAACCCTGTCTTGGGGGGGAGGACTTTTATCTATTTTACGCATGAGTGCTCTATCTGTATATATGCCTTTATGCCAGAAGAGGGCATCAGAAGAGGGCATCAGATCCCACTATAGATGGTTGTGAGACACCATGTGGCTGCTGGAAATTGGACTCAGGACCCCTGGAAGAGCAGCAGTCAGTGATCTTAACCTCTGAGCCATCTCTTTGGCTCCTTTAGATGATGTGTTTTGTTTTGTTGTTTTTTGGTTTTTTTTCTTTCAGTTTGTCAAGACAGGGTTTCTCTGTATTGTTTTGGAGGCCGTCCTGGAACTGGCTCTGTAAACCAGGCTGGGATAGAACTCACAGAGATCCACCTGCCTCTGCCTCCTGAGTGCTGGGATTAAAGGCATGTGCCACCAACGCCTGGCTCCTTTAGATGATTTTTAATATTTAATGCAATGTGAGCTGTAATGAGTCTTTCTCTGTCCCAACAGCTCGTGGAGACTTACTAATTATGAAAACTTGGCCTATAGCTCAGGCTTGTTCCTAACTAGCTCTTAGGACTTAAAATAACCATTTATGTTAATCTAAGTTCTGCCATGTGACTCATGGTTGTTACCTCTCCTTCCTGCACATCCTGGTTGCTCTGCATCTCCACGTCTCTGCCTTTCTACTTCTCAGAGTCCTGTCTCTGGAAATCCTACCCAGCTTCTTCCTGCCTAGCTATTGGCCATCCTGCTCTTTATTAAACCAATCAGAAAGCACCTTGGCAAAGACCTATCTTCACAGTGTAAACAAATATTCTGTAACAGTGAATACTACGTAAATATTTCCTATTCTATATTCCTTAAAGAATGATCAGAAAAATTAGCATGTACACATTCAGTACAGACACAATATAGTCCTTCCATAGTTGGTTGAATCCCCCTATGCAGAAACCAAATGTGGGAAATGATGTTAGATTTCCTTTAGCAAAGGGACCTGAACAAACTAATTAGGTCACGATGACACAGTAGAAAACAGACATAGATTTGATGTAAGTTGTTATGGTAGCCTAAGTCATTTATTTCTAATGCTGTTAAATGGGTTCAGAGCCTTGCCTTATATCAACATGACACAAAATGAAAGTCTTTGCAACTACTCATAGTACCTTTTTTTGTTTTTCTTTTTTTACTTAGCTGTTGACACTCCAGGAGTGTTTACATCAGAAGTTACTTTAAAAACCTTCATTAACTCTTGTGCTGGGCAGGAACATAGATCAATGCTAGAGAAGATACGTCACATGGGAGAAGACCTGGGTTTGACCTCCGTGCTGGGGAGAGAAATCCTATGGCCACTTTCATTCTGATGGGGACTGTAATGTGTGTGTGTGTAACCTATATGCACTGATTTTCACAGTGTTCTAGAATAACTTCTAGAAGTTAAAACAGATTTAAAACAAAATTTGGAATCAATGGGAAAGGTTCACTTTTGCCTTTGATGAATTCTTCATAGAAAAAGGAGTTGAGCAGGAATAACTTATGGTCTCTGCTGGTGCATAGTTTTGCTTTGTGTGTGGTGTGTGTGTGTGTGTGTGTGTGTGTGTGTGTGTGTGAGAGAGAGAGAGAGAGAGAGAGAGAGAGAGAGAGAGAGATCAAGTCAAGCATCATTTTCTCGAAGGCTCCACATGAATAATCATTCTGCCTCCCAGGCACTTCCAGGGGCTCACACCCATTCACGCATTCCATGAACCCTCATCTGCATCCCCGACTTTACCATGGCTGCTATGGAGACATCATGACCATGGAGACCTTTGGGGCCCCCTGTGACATAAATAACCTGTTGAACTGTGGTAAGTATAGAATAGAGCAGGGTCCTGTTCACCATCCCCATTATCATTTGCAGAGCTTTTCTTAGGAGGTAATTAGTTTTGAAAAGGAGCCAACACTACAATAACAGTCATGAATCAAATAGAAGTTAAAAAATTATGCTGGTTATTGTGGTGCATACCTTTAATTCCAACTATCCCAAGACAGAGGAAAATGGATCTGAGGCCATACTCTATTCTTTAAGTTCTAGGCCAACCAGGGAGACCCTGTCTAAAAAAGTTTTTTTAATTGCCTTAGCCCACCCAACAAACCACTTTTCTTCCCTCCATGATTCTTTCCAAATTGTGTCCAGATGTGTTGATTTTGATACAGCAAAACCATTCCTTAAATAAAAGGTCAATCGGCTCATGCTGCAGTGTGAGTATTCCAAGCAAGTGGAGTCTTTCTCTCTTAACACTTCCCTCCTTTGCAATCCCATTCCAAAATCTTCCTCATGCAAGGTCATATAAACCCATGTTCTTACTTCATGGAGCAGAGGCTCAGCAAGGAGTCACATCCTCTGGCACAGAATTGACTGGTTGCAGAGCTGGAGTAAAACTTGGCTCCACTAACTCCTACTCAGTGCACCACTCATCGTGGCAGGAAGGAGAGGGAGAAGCAGCTTCAGTGGCTCGAGCCAGCAGGAGTTGATGGACCTGCCTGGATTCCTGCAGTTAGAGGTCGGAAGGCTGTCTTAGAATTGTGGTCCTGAGCTGTGGGTGTGTGGTCAGAAGCTGAGGCTAAATAAGTGAATTCTGAGAACCTGCTCTTTTCTGGAGTAGAGGACAACAGTTTCTTTTCCGTCGACCTAGGGATCCACGGTTCGGAAATGTTTGCTGAGATGGATTTGAAAGCCATCACGCATTACCGTATCCTCATCAAAGAAGTGGGGCAGAGATACTGCATCGACCCAGCTATCATTGCAGCCATCATCTCCAGAGAAAGCCATGGAGGAGTTGTTCTGCAAAATGGCTGGGACCATAAGGGACAGAAATTTGGCTTGATGCAGGTAGATAACCAGAGACTTTCCATCAACCCAACTGTATCTCTCCTTGCAGAAGCTCAGCCCAGACTCAAAGTCCATTCCAGGACCTAAACATTCGGCCATAGGGGCTTCAGGACACTTTGCTCTGTGGTGTTTCATTCAAGAATTAGCAAGTCATTGGGCATTTCTTTAAAAATGTTTCGTGTATATCATAACTACAAGGTATCAGCTATATCTATATCCATAACTATTATAAACAACATGAACTATGCTTTAATTGGGAAAATTTTATAAATGTTACTATTAACATTTTTATAATAGTAATTATAATAATTAATGATGATATAAAAATAAAGTTGTCCCTTTGGGGCTTCTGAAGTAGTAAAATTCAGGAATGTGAATCAAAATACTATAATTAAGCCCTGCTTCAACTACCTTTGTTCCTTTGGATTAATTGAAGGAAGGGGAGCATAATTACTTAGATATTTGTTTCTAGACCTTTCATTTGTTTGTTTTGAGGCAGCATCTCACTCTGTAAGTCTGGCCAACCCAAAACCTGCTCTGTAGCCACCAGCCCATGCTGGCCTGGCCACCTTGTAGTGGCCCTCTTGCCTCTGTCTCCTTAGTGCTGGGGTTATCTGTATTACCAAGGCCACCTAAAACCAATATTTTCCTTGAACTAGCTGCATAACTATTCTCATTGTGGATATCTAGAGGTTTCATACTAATTATTTCCTTTGAGACATTTTTCCTTCTGGGCCTCCCCTCCTCCTCTCTTCTTTTTCATATCAGAAAGCATCCAGTGAGCTTCTCCCACCCGAACTGGTTTTTCTCTGAATCTCTTGTCCAGGAAAGACAAGACATTATAATATAGACTTTTGTGGGTCAAAGGTGCTGGGCCCAATTTTGAACTTAAAGGAGGAGACCTGGAAACAACAGAAAGTGTGCCACCTTGCCCAGATGCTGACTCCATTGTTTGAATTTTCTAGCTTGATAAGACGCACCATCCTATTGGTTCCTGGGACAGCAAAGAACACCTTCTACAGTCTGTTGGGATTCTAGCAGAAAAAATTAAGGCAATCCAGAGAAAATTTCCCACATGGAACACAGCTCAGCACCTCAGAGGTAGGCCCTAAGCCTAGTTCTTTGTTTAAATGAGCAGTGAATGAGTCTAGTAAAAGTAACTGCCCCAGGCTCCTGGAGGCATCCCCACTGTGTTGGCAAGGAGGGCATCCCTATCTAAAGGATGCTTTAGCATCGTCGGGCGAGGCATGACTTCACATCCTTTTTTTTTTTGAGGCAGGGTTTCTCCGAGGCTTTTGGAGGCTGTCCTGGAACTAGCTCTTGTAGACCAGGCTGGCCTCGAACTCACAGAGATCCGCCTGCCTCTGCCTCCCGAGTGCTGGGATTAAAGGTGTGTGCTACCAACGCCCGGCTGACTTCACATCCTTTATCCTCCCGCAAGATGCTGGGTTTCTTACTGAACTGGTCAACTACTAAGCCACTGAGTAATATCCTAGTAGTTAAAAACACTGCTTAACACCTTCTCATAGGTTTTTTTTTTTATTCCCCTGACCTAACAACCATTTTCCAAGTTGTTTGAACAAACTTTTGCTCTAAGAAACTTCAGAGCTTCAGTTACCCCAAGAAGTCTAACTGAAAATTTCTGTTTGGCTGAACTCAGAGTCCCTCAAGTTCAGCAGCTCCCAGATGGAATTAACTCACTCAGCCCACCACCAGACCTTCCCTTTGCTTTTATTTTATTTTTGTCTTTGGAGACACTGAGATAGCCAGTCATCTCAGCCAGAAAAAAAGATTTTTCCCCTCCTTGGACTCACTTGCTTTTTCTTTCTATCCGTCCAGGCACACCAAATTCCTCAGTTTGCCTCTTGTTGGATCATGATTTGTATATTTACATGTATACTATTTTTCAACACTTTAAAAGTCTGACCTTGAGCAAAGAGTTTTTGTTTATCTCAAGGTCCTCAAAGGCAGGAAGGAGAATATCAGCATAAAGCACAATTTTTAAAAATATATTAATAATGATTGAAGATGAACTTCTAGTGTAAAATAGTGCATGCATGAACACAAGACCCCATGAGAAATGAATGCATCTTGGGTACCTTGCACTCAGTGAGGAGCCTTTTCTGGCACACAATGGGTGCTTTTAAAAACATATGAATGAGTGAATGAATGAATGAGTGAATTGTTGAATAAATGAGAAAATGTTACCATCTTGTATTAGTTCTGTCAGATCTGGGCTCTGTAAAGAGAAACCAGAAACCTTACTACTCTGGAATATTTGCCTGGAGGGTGGTGAGTTGATGTCTTTGGGGGCTCATGTCTTATCTCTGCTGACAGCTAATATTGGAATCTAAACCTGTGTGTTTCATTTCAGGTGGTCTGGTTGCTTTTAAGTCAGGACTGGAAACCATTGTCACTCCTGAAGACATAGAAGTTGACTTAGTCGATGACGTTATTGCCCGAGCCAAATTCTATAAAAGACATGGCTTTTAGGCAGAGGTACATTGACAAGGAATTCAACTGGCCCCTCTTTCAAAGTTTACTATTAGCCCATTGCACTCAATAGGAACAAAGAAGTGGTTAAAATTATGAAAGTTTATCTCCAAAATTTTTAATAAAAGCAAGCAAAAGGAAGGAAGGAAAGGAGGGAGGGAGGGAAGGAGGGAGGGAGGGAGAGAGGGAGGAAGGAAGGAAGGAGAGGTGGGGGTGTGGCTTAGCTGGTTGAGCTCTTACCTAGCATGTGCAAGGCTCTGGGTTCCATCTTTATCACAAAGGAAAAAGAAAAGGCCCCAAGTTCACATATGGTTCCTAGGAAACATTCACAGACATACATATAATTTTTGGTCAATATGAATACCATGGCACACAGCATGTGCATGTTCTAGCCAGGCTCCATTTTAGCCCATGATTTGAATGATCACCTATATTCTGTCTACCAGAATTACTAAGAAGTCAGCCTTTGTCCCTTTCCCAGTATCTGCCCCAATTGCTAGGACTCTGCTCCCGAGATGTGTCTGTCTCAGAGGCCAGATCCACCTTGGGGCAAGAGATGGAGAGGAGATGACGGGTGCTGGTTGTGGCTTTTGGTTGCCTCATCAAGAAAGGACATGAAAATGCGTTAGATTGTGAAGTTTTCCATGTTCCTGCCAAGTGACTCTTTCTGGGTTTTTTGTTCTTGTTGGAGACGTTTGGTGGACATTTTCTACCTGTTCCTTCTCTTTATGAGAAAGAACCAAAATTCTACCACCGTTCCTTTAGCCACTTTGGAAAGATCCAGGTGAACCATTCTCTGCCCGAAAGAGCACCCAATACAGCCTGAAAGAGCCAATCAGAACTAGGAATCGGTTTTGTTTTGTTTTTGAGACAAGGCCTCACTCTATATCCCATGCTGCCCTCAAACTCATAGAAATCCTCCTGTCTCAGCTTCTCAAATTCTGGTATCCTAACTGTGGGCCATTGTGCCTGCCGTGTAATCATTCTTAGGATTTGACAAAGCCCAAGCTTTACCAGCTGTTAAATATTTGCATTCTCCTCCCTAAATGTGTTTGGTCAGAGTGTTCTTCAGATGTACATGCTGCTCACGGATGATTTCTTTTCATTTCCTTCAACACTTGCTGCTTTGATGTCACTATTGCAAAGACTGTCAATGTGCAGGCCAGATAAGCTTCAAGTAATTTATGAAACCGGAAATAGTAGACTTGCACCCTGAATCTATTTCCCCAGGATTCTTGTTCTGACTAACACACTAAGAGGCATCCTATAGAGGACCACATATTAAAGGTGTCTTGGTTTGGTTCCTTCAGAATCTGACTTGTGACAAAAATGTGGGTGCAAATGGTTTAGGGGGGCACAGAAAACAGCTATAAAGTGGTTCAATGATGTGGGATGAGAAAATAATAAAACATCTGCCAGTTTTATTAGTGAGCAATGGGACTCAACCTTTCAAGACAGCAATGTGAAACTATGTGACACATTCATCCCAGAATTATCTGCTGTCACTGATGCAGGACTGGAGTCTCTGCCCAGCACCTCTGAAAGCCACTGGATGGTGTCTGCCTGTATGGGGAGGGTGTGGCTTCTTGCTAGTCTGATCTGCTAAACGAGCACAAATATATAACACTTGTCCAAATTTCTAAGAGTGAGGAGTTGCAGCACAAACAGGCAGATCAAGTGAGAATTCCGAGAGGTTCAGAGACACAGAAGAACCAATGGCGTCTGTGCCACAAAGCAGGGAACATCATTCCAGTGCCTCCTGTTTGCACATCTGATATGTTACAAATAATCTGGAAAGAACACACACAGTCTACTATGCCTCCTGGTTTCTGTGCTGGGCTTCTGCTGAATCTATTAGAATGGCTAATCAGATACAATCGAACTACTACAGTCGCCATCTGTCTTGCATCTGTAGTTCAATAGAGAATTCCCAGGAGTTTACTGAGAACAATGCCAAAGATGTTAATCCCCAAATATGGAACCATTAAATTTTCTTGTGTCTTCATCCATCTCAATTTTCTTTATATTTGTTGCCTGAGTTCCTCTTAAGAGATAATGATTATAAGTCAAGTTTCTCATTGTAAAGTTCACTTTTCACTTTTAAAACTTTCTCCAAATTGGAGTGAATACAGTTGCTGTCGTTTGGGTCTGGAGTGGCCCTCAAAAGCCACATGTTAAATGCTTGGCCCCAACTTGGCATCAGCAGGAGGTGGTGGAATCTTCAAGAGTCTATAGAGAGGTCTTCCAGCCATGGAGGACACCCTGAAGTGCACATCAGGCCCCAGCCCCCCCTTCCTCCAACTCATCCCCAACTGCTGTGAAGTCAGTGGCTCTGCTCCACACACATTCCCTGCCATGTGTTGCCTCGATAAAGCTTTATTTGTGTTCTCTTTGACTGCTTCTGAGAACCAGTCTTGCTATGCAGCCCAGGCTGGCCTCCGTCTCCCCAGTCTGTAGGGGTCCAGGGGAGGGATACCTGCCCCCACTTATAAGATCCCCCCTTTCATGTTAGCCTATTTATTGGTGTTTTTAAGAGAAAAATCTCACAGCAAACTTGAGGTTTTCGGGCTGTTAACACTCTCTGCCTCCACGTTGAAGATGTTCCCTGAGCCTTATGTGCAGGAGTTAATTGGGGAGGCACTGACCAGGGCTCGACTCTCACATCAGTTGTCTCCACTCTGGAGGGAAATCATGCCTGGTACTAGAAAGCTAACCAACTACATATGGCCAGTGAGGTCACAGGTCTTGGAGGAGAACCTTCTATTACCACATTAGTAGACCACTATAATTTTTTTAATTTAATTGGTGTTTTGCTTATGTATGTCTGTGAGGGTGTTGGATCCTGAAGTTACAGTCAGTTGTGAGCTGCCATGTGGGTGCTGGGTTTTGAACTAGATTCTCTGGAAAAGCAGTCAGTGCTCTTAACCACTGAGCCATCACTCCAGCCTGGCCACTATAATTTCTATCTGCAGTCTAAAATGTATCCCTACCAATACGTAGCACTCACTCAAAATCAAAATCTTTGCAGCAAATGGAAACCATTACAGAAAACCAAAACTGGTCTCTCAGGTTTTGCCTGTTTTGAGATAGGGTCTCAGTACATAGTCTTGGCTGGCCTAGAACTCAGTGTGTCGACCAGGCTGCCTTGAACTCACAAGAGATTCGTTTACCTCTCCCTTCTGAGTGCCAGGATGAAGGGTGTGTGTACCACGCCTGGCTCTTGCTTCCTATCTTGCTGTGCAATGTCATCTATCAGGCTATGATCCTGCAGGAGGTGCTCATGAGATACGCTGCCATGGCTTGGACTTTTCAGTGCTTGGAACCAAAATAAACTCCTTTGCCTGATAAGCTACCCAGCCTTGGGTACTTTGTTATAGCAGCACAGGACTGTCTACAACATAGCTGCTCACAAAATTGCAGAATTCAATGAGAAAGCAATTGAAGAAGAAAGCAGTTTCTATAAAGCACTAACGACAATTGTTCAAGTGGCAGGGGCCTAAAGTTAGATGTCAGGCAATGCCATTCTTGCCCAACATGGAGTAAAATTCTTAGGGGACAAAGGGAGAGAATTAAATAAAGTAACTTCAGAACTCCCAAAGTCTACATCTCGAAAAATCACAGCAGCATTCACCAGCAGAAATGACTGGATTGAAATACACTTTAATGAGTTCCTCAGCAACTGCGATTTGTAACCTGCAGCTGTGTGGCATCAGACTTTGCTTCCTGCTCCACAGGCTTCAGATGCCACTGTACTACCAATTCCCCATTGCTCTTGAGGCACGTGCTAGACATGGTCTCTTCTGTGGGAAGTCCTTGTGGCAGCTTCAGGGGCTGGATGCGTATCAAGTGTTTGACCACTTTCAACTTTGCGTTCACTGAAGGGATATTCTTGTGAATTTGAGGGCTGTGTGCCTATGAACAAGAGGAGCAATATCATAGATCAATTGAAGAGGCAGTGGTGCCATTTCAGAAAACATTAAGTTGAAGGCACATCCTTCCTAAATTAAATTATAGGCAGGTCGCACTAAGTAACACATTTAAACATAAGAAATAACAAATACATGTAGTGTGGGTTTAAAAGTATGAGACCAAAGCACACAGACACTGAAATGAATATTAGAACTGCTGCATACCTTCTGAAGCCCAAGCATCTTGATTGTATCTTTTTCCCAGTATGGGCGCCTTTTTGTACTTTTTATTCTTGTAACAATGTGCAGTTTATGAGGGTGCTGGGGGTCCCCACCATATTTTTCATGATCTTCAGGTCTTGGCTGAAACACCTAGAAAGGGAGAATTATAAATGGTAACTCTTCCAACTTACAGTTTTTATATATTGTCTATTCCTTCTCTTTAACATGAACACACACCAACACGCAAACAAAATTACATAGTGATCTCATTCCTAATCTTTATGTAATCCTCAACCTCAGACTGAATAGTTCAGACGAAGTTCAAGAGCTACATACTTTCAAGAAAAAATGCCAGCTGGGCGGTGGTGGTGCACACCTTTAATCTCAGCACTTGGGAGGTGGAGGCAGGCGGATCTCTGTGAGTTCAAGGCCAGCCTGGTCTACAGATCGAGTTCTAGTACAGTTAGAGCTACACAGTGAAACTCTGTCTGGGGGTAGGGGGAGAAAAGGGAAATACTACACAGGTAAAGGTTTTGTTTTGCTTTTTAACTTTTGAACACATCAGGAGCACTAGATGTCATGAAAAGATTTAAACAGCAAGAGAATGAAGAGCAGTGTGGGCTTCGGGTTTTTAGAAGGGGGCACTCAGCCAGTGCAGTGCACAAACAAATCTCCCCAGAGCTAAAAAACCCAAAATAAGAAATTGAGGGTTAAGAGGTAAATTCTGTACTATATATTTTATCACATAAAAATATTAAGGGGTGGTGCTGGAGAGGTGGCTCAGCAGGTAGGAGTAATTGTTGCTTTTGCAGAGGACCAGGGTTCAGTTCTCAGTACCCACATGGTGCTCACAGCCATCCCTAACTCTAGTTCCCAGGATCTGCTGCTAACTTCTGATCTCCACAGATACCAGGCACTCACATGATACACCCACATACAGGCAACCAGAACACTTACTCACATAAAACACAATGTTAACAAACTAAACATAAAATAAATACACAGTAGAGGGAAAAACATAAGGATAAATGGTTTTTTACTGTGTAATTGTGCTCCCAAATAAATATCTACCCAATACATCAAAAACTACTGGTGATACCAATAGACGTACACAAGTATTTATGCAGCTTCATTACTGCCCCAAACTGGAAGCAGGCAGGATGTCCTTCAGTAGGTGAGTACATAAGTAAACTACATAAACCCTTAGCATGGACTGCTATCCAGCCATAAGAAGAAATAAACAATTAAGCCATGAAAAGATTTGGAAAAGCCTTATGTATAGGCTATACGATTCTAACTATGTGGTAAGATTCAGTGAAAGGTAAAACTAGAAAGTGGGTAAAAAGATCATAGGTTGCTAGGACTTAGAAGTTACAGGTAGAAGTTAACAGGCGGCACACAAGTGACATTTAGGGCATTGTCTGGTTTCTATGTGACACTGCAATACATGACACTGTACATTTGTCAAAACCCATAGGATATACAGCATAAACAGTAACTCCTAGTTAACATCTTCATTATTTTATCTACTTTAATAATTGCTCTATATTAATGCAAAATGTTAAGTATCGGGAAAACTGCATGCTAAAAAAATCATAGAGGAAACCTCCTCATGACTTTCTAATCATTTTCTTTTGTATAACTAAACTGTCTTATGAAATAAAGTTTAATTAATCAAAAAGCAAGAATGCTGTGGAATAATCCTTGTGTACATTGTGTGAAGATATGTTGCTGTAACTGGTTTAATAAACAAGCCGACTGGTCAATAGCTGAATAGGATAAAGTTAGGCAGGAAAGACGAAACGAGAATGACGGGATGGGAAAGGTGGAGTCTGAGGAAATCGCCAGCCAGATGGAGAATGAGTCGAACACACAAAAGAAACAGAGGTAAAAACCATGAGTCTCAGGGCAGCACATACATGAATAGAAATGGTTAAGTTGTACGAGCTAGTTAGTAATAAGCCTGAGCATTTATAATTTATATTATATTAAGACTCGGAGTAATTATTTAGGAGTAAGTGGTCAGGACAGGAAAACTCTGCCTACACAAGAAAGCAAGTTTAACCCAAACAAAATGAAAGCAAGGCAAAGCAAAGCAAACAAACAAACAAACAAAAAAAGCAACACAGTCAAACAGCGAAGGTTCACATGGGTCGTCACACAGTGACAGCCTCAATAGGGAGACTCATTGTCTTCTCAGGACAATGGTGATAAAAACCACAATATATATATAAAAAAAAGCCGTAGCCGGGCGTTGGTGGCGCACATCTTTAATCCCAGCACTTGGGAGGCAGAGGCAGGCGGATCTCAGTGAGTTTGAGGCAAGCCTGGTCTACAGAGTGAGTTCCAGGACAGCCTCCAAAGCCACAGAGAAACCCTGTCTCGAAAAACAAAAACAAACAAACAAACAAAAAAAAAGCCGTAAGTAGGAATACATAGACTAGTAATAAGAGCCCATTCCTACGAACGCCAGCATGACTAGGAAGGAGCAGAACAGTCAGCATACTGCTGTGCTTCCGACTCTACACTCCATCTATATGCACATGTAACTTACTGGAAAACCAGCACCAGCGGGACTGTGAGCAGGCTCAGAGGGCAAATGTGCTGCGGCCAAGCCTGACAACTCATGACTCCACAGAACCTTCTTCTAGGCCTCCACACACAAAGTCAGAGCGCGTGCATACACATGTGCGTAAGGAAAGACGTGGTACAACAAACATACAATGTATTACCTCTTTTAAACATGCAATTTTATAAAATTAGGTACTTTTAAAAATATTATTTAAAAAGAAACAGGTCTTACTTTATCTGGAATTCTTGATCTGGTAAATTTGTGACGAATCCAATCTGTACCAATGAGAGATTCCACACCTTTATTCACTGTCTGAAGCAGAAAACATTTGTTATTTACAACTCTGCCTAGTGTGAAAATCCTTATCTATCAGTATTTAGGTAACAAATATCTGACCTAATGTAATCTACAACAGCTAATGTTTAACTTGACTCCCTCACTGGATGGATACATCTCATTTAAGCACCAGGGATGACAAAGCAAAAAGCACACACATACACTTCCAGTCCACTGATTGGTAACTTCCTTCTCTAAGGGAGCAGAAGCAAACATTTCCAGTTCTGGAACTACCCAGTCTTTACTGCCAAGGCCTGTCTCTGCCAATACAGTAACGGTTATTCAATACTGAATGCAGCAACAGGTGCTATGCAAGCAAACAGGACTGATGAACTTCAACTTTGCCCTGGAGGTCATGATTTACCAACTCTTTGTTTGTTTGTTTGGAGACAGGGCTTCTCTATGTAGCTCTGGTTGTCCTGGAACTCACTCTGTAGGTCAGACTGGCTTTTTACTCAGAGACCTGCCTCCTCCCAAGTGCTACAATTAAAGGCATGTGCCACCACACCCAGCTAAAGGTTGTATGTGCTGGTTACCTTGGTTTTTTGTTGTTGTTGTTGTTGTTATGGGGGGCGGTGTCTTTGGTTTATTTGTTTTTTCCAGAGCTGAGGACTGAACCCAGGGCCTTGTGCTTGCTAGGTAAGTGCTCTACCACTGAGCTAAATTCCCAACCCCAGATTACCAACTCTTAGGCTAGGCAGTAAGTAATAATTTACCTTCAACAAAATCATGTAAAGGAAATTCCAAATGAGATTGGGGTGGTGGCGGGCTGAGGGAGGAAGATTCCTTCAAGTTGGGGGCCAGCCTATAGGGTATGACAGTGTCTCAGAAACAACAAACACACAAATCCAGTGGGTTCTTCCTAGCCCTAACAACCATCGGGCCCACTTTAACCTCTTGTCTTCACTATTTAATCCTAGTTTGCTCTTGCAGTTGGAAACAAGGATTCATTGCAGCCTTTCATACAGTTAATCACTTCTAGCCTTCCCCGAACTACAGAGCTAACTCCTAGCTAACAACTAGAGTAAGTCCAGATGGGGTAAGAAAGGGAAGCCTGGCCTTTATATGCCAGAAATACAGGGTTTCTAATCCTAGTTCTGTTGCTTATAACTTCAAGATGTGAAACACACATCCTCCCAGTGGATCAGTTTCAGAAGAACCAAAAAGGAAATTCCACTGAATTCACCAGCTAACCTGAGATAGCTGACATTTCTCTTGTTGTTTTCTTTTGTTTTTTGAGACAGGGTTTCTCTCTGTAACTTTGGAGGCTGTCCTGGAACTAGTTCTTGTAGACCAGGCTGGCCTTGAACTCACAGAGATCTGCCTGCCTCTGCCTCCCGAGTGCTCGGATTAAAGGAGTGCACCATCAAAGCCTGGCTGACATCTCTTTCCCTATAATCAGGAGCTGTTTGCACCCAGTCTGGTCTCCATGTATACATTAGTTATTCTACCTCACACCCTAAACACTAAGAGGAAAGACATAAAAATGCTAACACATTTCTTATCTTTGGGAGATTATCTTCTGATTTTTCTGTTTATCTGACTTTCTGTGATTGAAAATGTACTTTCTTCATAATTGAAGGGTTCCCCCTAAAACTTTAGCACTAAAAGAGACTAAGGGGAATCAGCAGCAGCCTTTTTTTTCGGCTTCATCTACAGGAAAAGATGTTTTGTGGGTGAAAATACTTAGAGAAACATAGCATATAAAGAAGAAATAATGAGGGCGTGGGTGTAGCTCAGCCAGAGCATCTGCCCAGTGTTCACAAGGCTCTGAGCTTGACGTTTGGCACCAATCAATTTATATCAAAAGGAGCTTTTAAAAAGACTAACTTGCTTGTATGTTTTTTTATCAATAGGTGAGAAGAAAAAAATGAAAGGACCAAACTTTTTGGCAGAGTGCTCACCTTGCATGCACAAAGCTCTGAGTTCAATCCCCAGCACTGCATGAAACTGGACACTTGGGAAGTGGAGGCAGGCAAAGCTCAAGGCTACCCTCAGTTACACAGCGAGTTTGAGGTTAGCCTGAGCTATATGAGAAACACATAGAAAACTTACCTGCAGTCTGCCTGGAGGCCTCTGAAATACTGAGCGCAAAATGCCAGCCATAAGTGTAGTAATTCTTCTCTTTAAAGGCTGAGAAGTAGGAAACAGATCGCTGGTCAAATACATTACAAATGGACAGATTTCCCCCTTCTGCAGAGGTAAAATCACAGGCAGTCATTACACACTATGCAATCCTATTTCCATCAAGTGAGTTTAGAGTCTATGTCCATTTCATTCAACTGGGAAATGGGGGTTTCTATCACCTGAAACTCTTCACAGTGAGTATAAAGAATATTTGGTCATTTTTCTTTGTCAGAGAAACCACAGAAAATATGAAACTAGACAAGACTGAAGAGATCCCACCTCTTAAAATTAGAACCACATACCCTGTTATTTTATATATGAAGAAAATTATTTCCAGAAAGTTATCATGTACCCAAGGGTATCTAGCCATTAAGAGACCTGTACAGATGGGCATTGGTGACATATGCCTATAACCCTACACTTGGGGAGCCTGGGGGCAGGAAGACTCTGAGTTCTAGGCCATCCTGAATTACACAGCAAGATCTAGTCTCGAACAAGCAAAACAGGTTTTAAAAGGTCATATGTCCTGACTCAGTGCATTTTTCACTAGATCGGTAGCACTTTTCTGAAAGAAAGAGAGAGAGAGAGAGAGAGAGAGAGAGAGAGAGAGAGAGAGAATTGCTGAAAAGATGCTGAAAAGAAGATGGCTCAGTTGCTAAGGTACTTTTTGTGCAAGCTTGAAAACTTAAGTTCAGATAACCAGTACCTATGGAAAAGTTAGGTATGATGGCTTGGGTCTACAGCCCTAGAGCTGGAGTAGACATTCCTGGAGCTTGCTAGCCAACCAGTCTACCCAAACTGGAAAGCTCCAGGTTGTTTGACTCTGGCTCAAAAATAAGATAGAGAATGTCCAAGAAATACATCTGTGGCCTCTACATACATGTAGGCATAATGCATACACAAAAATAGGTACTTTTTTCTGTCTATTTATGTTTTTAAAAATGATTCTTCTGTATTGCTTCTGTAACCTCAAAAAGGATGTATTCGGATAGGGATGAAACAGATATAGCCTAATGCACACCAAGAGTAGACAGATGGGATTCATGAACTGTATGTATGCCTTGGGCAGATACTTGTGTGTACCGCTTTTCCTTCTAAAGAAAACAGTACCTAGCTTACAAATTACCTATTCTATATAACATCAGAAATATTAGCTCTATACCCCTAGTAGGGTAAGTGTGTACTACATCCTGACCAGATTCTAACCTAAGAAGGTCTATAACCTTCTTCTGTGATGTGAATGAAGTAACAGGTAAAGCCCAAATGTCACCAAAGAAGAGCTGGACCTCAGAAAAAAATGCTCAGCAGCTAAATTAACCAAATGCCAAACCATTTTCTCACACTTCTTCCAAGTTAAGCGTCATCTGAAAATCCAACTCATTTAGTGCTACTTAACTTTTCAATTAGGTTTCAAGAAACAACTGATAGTCTGCGGGACTCCATAAATCAGAAAGGAGCTACTCAGAAATGCAAGCCTATGGAAATGTATTAAAGGTACAGACAACAACTGAAAGAACTCCCAGTGGCCCAACTGGATCGATTTAAACAAATACATGACAAAGTATCAGCTTATAACTGGAACAAAAAACAAATGTGAGAAAGTCCACACTTATATACATAGGTAAATAAACTGGAAAAGAGAAACAGAGCTTCTTGCAGAAGAATTCTGTTTTTTATGGGGTTACTTCCCCTCAGAGAGACAGAGAAAACTATTCATCACTTTAATGTGTCCTACGATGAAGAACTTGCTCCTAAGGAGTGCAGTATAGAAAAGGAGAAAATCACCTTTATAGAAAACGGACAAACACTACCTCCACCAGGTGATCAGGGATACGTAACACCAAGTGATAGAAGTTGACAGCATTCCAATCAGAGTTACATAGAGGGAACCTATCACAAAACAAAACAAAATATTGATACACTTCACAGAAACAAAGATATGTAATGAGATTTCTTCCACCCCAAAGTCCATTCATAATCCCACTTAAGAGAAAAACCATCCCTAATTGAGGGTCACTGTGTTCTAGCTAGTTTTATGTCAACTTGAAATAAACTCTGCTTATTTTTGTCCTTGTACTGACTTCCTTCAATGGTGGACTATGAAAATATAAGCCAAATAAACTTTCTCCCCTAACTTGGCATCTTTTTGGTTATGGCGTTTCACCACAGCAATAGTAACCCTAACTTTCCACACTGTGGAAAACACTTCACTAGTACATTTTAAAAAACCTCACTTCTCAAAACTGTCAAGGTCATCACAAACTAGAGACCTGAGAAACTGGTCAAGAGGAACCCAAGAGCTACAATCTTTACACATAATGTACACTACATTGATATATGGGTGGGATCCTGGGATATAAAAAAAATTGTCTGAAGAGAGCAAATAATGTTAATAATGTATCACTTTGGTTCAGCAGTTGTAATGAGCACCCTACACTAATATTTGATGTTAAAAGGAGAAACTCAGCACGAAAGGTATAGGAACCCTGTATTAGTTTCACCACTTCTCTGGAAATTGGCTAAAAGTAAAGTTCATTCATTGAAAAAAAAAAAGCTGGGACTAGAATACGATCAGGGGTAGAATGTTTGCCAGCCAGGCATTAGCTCCTGGGCACCAAGAGTTAGTACTGCCTCCAGTACCTCTCACTTCTCCACTTTACCAAGATGAAAATCCAAGTCCTAACCCTCACAGGGCAAGCCACTGCATATCACCGCCAACCTCCCCCATATTCTCCTATTACTTTCTTGCTTCAGCAGAGCAGCTGGCTTTCTGCATGACCCAGAGCCAGCCAAGCTAGACTGCTTCTCCCCTTTGACTTCTGGCATGCCTTTCTTTCTCAGTTTTTGGCTCAAACCTATCTTAGCAACAAGGTCTACCTGGAGCACACTGTTTCAGCTTCACTATTACCTTCTATTGAATAAGGTCTACCTCCATCAAACTGGCATTCTCAGCCACACTACTGCTAGCACTCTCAGTTCCTTGGGTACTTGTGATCTGTTGTAAGTTACTAGTTTACCATTTAGCAGCTGTCTCCATTCAAAACACAGGACAGTGCCGGAAGACAAGGACTTTGTATTTTGGTGTAGATCTGTTTGAGTCACGGGTATCTATCAAAGCAGCGTCTACACTCAAGATTTTCTGCTGAAGTTTAATTTACAGATAATAAGCAGGTGTCACCATCAACTCACTGATTTTGTTGTTGGTGTCCCAGTGTCCTGGGGGGTGAGTACTGGGGACCAAACCCAAGAGCCCTGCACATAGAAAACAAGTGCTCTCCAGCTCCAAAATTCTATGTCTCATTAAAGTAGAGGTTATTCTTATTAAGCTTATAACTTTTGAACTTTGAAGCAATAACACTGCCATCTACTGTACAGCAGCTTTCCTCTGTACTTCTTTTTTGTTGTTGTTTTGTTTTGTTTTTTTGAGACAGGGTTTGTCTGTGGCTTTGGAGGCTGTCCTGGAACTAGCTCTTGTAGACCAGGCTGGCCTCGAACTCACAGAGATCTGCCTGCCTCTGCCTCCCGAGTGCTGGGATTAAAGGCGTGTGCCACCAACACCCGGCTTCCTTTGTACTTCTTAAAAAAAAAAAAAAAAACAGAAAAATGAGGCCTGAGAGATGATGGCTCAGCAGTTAAGAGCACTGGTTGCTCTTCCAGAGGGCCTAAGTTTGATTCCTAGTGACCATACGGCAGCTCACAGAAGTTTGCAACTCTAGTTCCAGGGTCTCTGACAATCTTCTGGTCTCCTTGAACGCTGTATGCACATGGTGCATAGATATGACAGGCCAAGCCCACACACACATAGAAACAAACTGCAAAATACCACTTATCACATGAGAGATATAACCTGTTTCTATTTTTTAACATGAATATTTGTGTATATATAGGAAAATATGAAGGTTGTCAAAACCATTTTGCTTCTTCCTCACCCTCAATGTCTCTTAGTTTTGTTCTTAGTTTTTGTTTTGTTGGGTTTTTAAATTTTTATTTTTACAATGACTTTGAATATAAATGGTTCTTTACCTCCAAACTACAGCAGCAGCTCTTAAGTGGTTAGGGATTTTTTTCCTTCTAAAGAATATATATATGGGAGTGGTCTTCCTGAAAATGTAGACTATAGAATGCAATCAACTGAGATCTCTGAAGTCAACAATTGTTTTTCTCCCCAGAATTTCCAGGGCCTAAAAGTATTAAACAACTGTCATAACGGCCTCTTAGCCAAATGAGAAGGCGCTAGATAGGTGACGATCAGAGTACTTTGCAAAATCATTGTCTTTCGTACACAGCAGCTCTAAAAACCCTGCATTCTAGGTTGCAATAAGTTAAAATTAAGTAAGTTTTGCCTTAAATTTTTTTTCACTGCTGCTCAATGAAGCGTCCTAGGGTTATAAACAGAAGCACTGAAAGAGCTACAGACATTGTCAAGCAGGCAGGCTTGGAGGGCTTGGACCTAGGGCTACAGGAGTGAGGCTCTCAAGAGAGACGCGCGCGCCGCAGCAACCCGCGAATAAAATGACAACTCGGCCGCAACCAGAAGCCCAGAAACGGGCCCTGGGCACAGACCTATTTCCGTCGCCGGGACCTCCGACTCAGAACGGAAAAAGGAAGTCAGTGAGCATCTGCAGGGAGAGCCCACGTGAAAACACGCAAACGTCTATAGCTCCCGCAGCCACACTCACCCGCGACCGCTCTGTCCAGTCCGAACGTCCCCGCAACCGGAAGGAGCGGAACGGCAGCAAGTGGACCCAGTGCTACACTCACACCACGCCGTTGCCATCACAGGGCGCACAGTTCTTTGGTTCCGCGAAGCGGTATTTTTGTTCCGGCCCAGTGACTCCCATTCACCAAGCTCCTTAGAAGACGGCGCAGGCGCTGCGGTGTCACGTGTGCGCTTCCTAGGCTGGGGTGACAGCCGTGGGAAGGTCTGGCGGAGCCCTGGAGTTCTCGCAGTGATGGCTAAGTCCAGCCTGGGGCAGGATTCCGACAGCACCGCTGCAGTGGCGGTGCTAAAGCGGGCAGTGGAGCTGGATGCAGAGTCCCGGTACCAGCAGGCTCTGGTGTGTTACCAGGAGGGGATTGACATGCTCCTTCAGGTTCTGAAAGGTGAGCTAGTTTCGGTTTCCGCTCTATCTGGGACAGAGTGAAACTTAGGAAAACGAAACTTCCCAACTACCAGGAAGCATTCAAATTCAGGAGCTGTCTTCTGTGGGACCACAGAGGAAGGAGGTGGCCATTGCAGTAGACTGATGGTACCACGAAGGAGCGTAGGTCACTGTCCTGAAACGTAAGAGACATAAAACGTAAGACATAAGCCTTGCTAGGTCTTGCGTCTGAATGAAATTTATTTTTTGTTATTGTCAGTTTGCGACAGGATTTTTCTCCTCTCTGTTACTCTGTCTCTCCTTCCCGCCTCCACTATGACCCAATGAGTTTCATTAGGGTGGAAGTTTGTTTTCAGGAATATGTGCACCTTACCGGTGACTACACTACTGAATAAACTGTCTCTCTTCCCCATCAACAACTTATAAGCACACACACACACACACACACACACACAAATGGGGGCGGGCTTGAACCTTTCCCCCTTTCATGACAGTGTTAACAGCCCGAGTTTGTGGTGATCCTGTACCGGTAATCACGGCTACTGTGAGTTAGAGTGCAACAGACATGTCCTGCTGGAAACTCTTGAGTCCACACCACCCCTTCCCTTCCTCTGGCTCTTATCCCTTCTGCTGTTTCTTCTGGGGTGTTCCCCCAAGCCTGGAAGTGGGGATAATAGATGTCTCATTTATGACTGGGCACAGTCATTAATTTTGTGTGTTTCAACCAGTTATCAGTCTCTGCTGTCGCTACTGAGTTCTGGTGGAAGAGGCTTCTCTGACCGTGCTGACAACAGCACCGTTCTGAAACATAATTAGGTAGAAGACGATTTGACAGACACATCATGTTGATTTGCTAAAACAACAGCAGTAGCCCAGCCCCGTGACCTATGACCTGCACAGTCTTGTACTTTTAGTCAAATTCGAATTCCCTCCTGTCAAGCAGGGGTCACATCCAATCAGAAAGCAGTTCGGTACCCTGTACCCTATGCCATATATGCCATAACATATAACCCCATGCCACTATTGCATCAACAGGCTTGTCTAGCCCAGCTGGTTGCCTTTAACACAGTGTATGGCTAAGACAATTCTCCCCCAGCAGCCTGTGTAGCACCTTCCACCAGTATGAGAACTGTCTAACAAGGAGGAAGCTTCAAACCCAGTTCCAGCTTAATATCTCTACGTCCTATGACCAAGGCATGTGGTGTGTTCAACAATAGAGTCTTACCAACTAGTTTTGGTGAGCATCCAAAAGCAGTGGCAATTCCTATATTGTTTGGGGGAATCTCACAGGCCTCATTGGAGCAGCTTTATCTACCCACAGAGAATATCCCTACTTACAACTTTTAAACCTTACTTATTTATTTATTTATTTATTTATTTATTTATTTTTTGATTAGCTTGCTGTCCTGGTTAGGGTTAACTATTGCTATGATGAAACACCATGGCCAAAAATAAGTTGGTGAGGAAAAGTGATTTATTTATTTATTTTTCGCTTACACTTCATGGCCTTGTAGTCCATCACTGAAGGAAGTCAGGATAGGATCTCAAGCAAAGCAGGAACCTGAAGGCAGAAGCTAATTTAAAGATCATGGAGAGGGTGCTGCTTCCTGACTTGCTCTTCAAAGCTTGCTCAGTCTGCTTTCTTATAGAACCTAGGACCACCAGCGCAGGCATGGCACCACCAATAATGGGCTGGGCTCTTCCTCACCAATCACTAATAAAAAAAATATGCCCTTCAGGCTTGTCTACAGTCCTAGTTTGTAGGCATTTTTTATCCCCAACCCCACCCCTGGGACAGGTTTTCCCTGTGTATAGCTCTGGCTGTCCTGGAACTCCCTATGTAGATCAGGGAGGCCACAAATTCAGAGATTTGTCTGCCTTTGCTTCCCAAGTGCTGGGATAAAAGGCATGTGCCATTGCGCCCCAGAGAGGCATTTTCTTAATTGAGGTTCCCTCTTCTCCGATGACTTTGTTTTAGCTTGTGTCAAGTTGACATAAACCTATCCAGCACACTCCCAAAATATCAGCATTGTTAGTTTTGGCTAACCCTCTCCCCCAAGCCTTCTCTCCAGGTATGGTGGCTAGTTTTGTGTCAGCTCGACACAAGCTAGATTTATCTGAAAGAAGGGAGTCTCAATTGAGAAAGTGTTCCCATAAGACTTGTCTGTAGGGCATTTTCTTAAGTATTGATTGATGGGGGAGAGCCCAGCCCATTGTGGGTAATCATATCCCTGGGATAGTGGCCTTGGATTCTATAAGAAGGCCAGCTGGGCAAGCCACAAAGAGAAAGCCACTAAGCAGTACTTCTCCATGGCCTCTGCATCAGCTCTTCCTCCGGGTTCCTGTCCTGTTTGAGTTTCTGTCCTGATTTCCTTTGTTGAAGAACAGTGCTATAGAAGAATAAGCCAAACCTGACAGTGGTTGTGTACATCCTTAATCCCAACACTTGGGAGGCAGTTGTAGGTGGATCACTATGAGTTTGAGGCCAGCTTGGTCTACTGAGTGGGCTCTGGGACAGCCAAGGCTACAAAGAGAAACCTTGTCTTGAAAACACACACACACACACACACACACACACTGACTGCTCAAAATGTAGTCATTTCTCACCATATTTGGGTCCCAGGAATGGAATTCAAAATTTCAGACTTAGTGACAAGTACCTTTTCCTGCTGAAACACCTTGCTGGTTCCTGTCTTGTTCTTCTATAGCAACTGTTTGTGTGCAATAACTGACATCGTAGGGGAACTGCATTAATCCCTTGCAAGGGCAGCATCTCAGGGACCTCCCACTGGGCTCTACTACTTGGAGGCTCCACTGATTCGTAATTTTGTTACACAGGACCAAGCTTCCCATTCATGAAGGAGGAGGTAGACTTAAATCATATCCAAGGGAAGAGATAAGAAGATGTTTATTTGCTCAGAAGAGCCACAGGACACCCCAGCCCACTGAATTTGAGCACACTGTGAAAGGGAAGAGAACGTGTGGGAAACTTGACAGAAATCCCTCTTCTTTTCTTCAATTTGCAGGCACCAGAGACTCCAGTAAGAGATGTGTTCTCAGAACGAAAATCTCTGACTACATGGATAGAGCAGAAAACATAAAGAAATACTTAGACCAAGAAAAAGAAGGTAAAGGCTGTTTTTTAAGAACCTGTCTGGGGTTGGGGCTCAGGGGCAGGATGCAGCTTGAGGCCCTGGGTTCAAAGCTACTGCTTGTTGGAGCATGGTGTGGTCTGGGCCCCTTGTGCCTGGGAGCTGAGCAGGTTGCTCTGTGTTTCCTTCTTCCTCATACAGAAGTTATCCTTAACAGTGTCTAGTTTTCAGTTTGGGACCTGGGGATTCAGGCATCCTTTAAATACATGATTAAAAACCTGGTCATTTTTAAGGCATTTGCAGATCGATCTGAAGCATAGGGGTGGACCTCAATTTAAGAATATTGCAGAAGAAACCGAATGTGGATCCTGAGTTTATTTTTTCCTTTATGAAATGATGAAAACCATTAGGATAGCTAAACACACTCCAGGGGCTTCTCAAAGGTTTCTGTGACTCAGCATTTCACCAGTTATGTTTTCCTGATGATTGAGAGGTGAGGAAGGTATTCCTCTGGATCTGTCATGAGCTCCCAACTCATGAGCATCTCTATGAGTGGGTGTGGCTACCCCACCTGAAGCACACTGGTGTTTGTACAGCCAGAGGTGCTGCAACCCTCCATAGCTCAGGTCTCCAGACCTCAGCTCCTCTCCCTATTTGTCCTTACTACAACCCTTTCCCCACTTCTTCCTAGAGTTCTGTAATAATTATACCCAGGTTATGGTGGTTCACTGAACAGTTAAATTAGCCTATGTGACTGGTTTGGATTAAAAAACAGATGCATGGTTTGTAGCGTTATCTCTGTGGAAATGCTGTTTTGTTGTTTTTAGTGGTGCTTGGGATTAAACTCAGTGTCTTGTGCTTACTAGGGGAGTACTCTACTGCTAAACTATAACTACATCCCAGATTTCTTTTTTTTTTTTTTTTGATTACTTAAAAAAACTTTCTTTTGGGGAGGTTTGGGGTTTTGTTACCATTTTTTTTCTCTTCCAAATTCGGGGGGGGGGTGGTGGTCTTACTACGTAGCCCTAGCTAGCCTGGAATTCTCTATGTAGACCAGGCTGGCCTTGAACTCATAGACCTCCACCTTTATCTGTCTTCAGAATACAGAAAAGGCTTCCCTTTTTGAATTTAGCTTTCTAACTTTGACTTTGCACTTACACGTTTGCTCATTCAGTAATTGGAAAGCACACCGAGCACACGTGGAACTAGCTTATATGTTGTTTGTTTATTCTTTTTTCATTTTACACGGTCTCATAAGAACTTTAGTCCACATAGCATGAACTGCTAAAAGTCTGATTAAACCATACCAGAGCATGCTTAGCATGTGCAAAGATCCGAAGCACCAAAAGCAAGCAGACAAACAAGCAAACCAACAAGAAGCCTTAAAACCAGGGAAAAGAATACAGCCAGGCTATGGTGGTGCACACCTGTAGTCCTAGCACATGGGAGATAGAGGCAAAAGGATAATGTAAGGAGTTTGTGGCCAGCCCTACATTTGACCTTCTGCCCACTGTGACAGGGTCTTATCAACAGCTGTGCGCAATCAGTCCTCCCTTGTATAAATTTGTCTGTCAGAGGCAGAGAAGAAACCTTTTTCAAGTAACCTCTTGTGGCCTGAGAGAGGTGTCGAAGCAGAGCACTAACTGCTCATGCAGAGGGATCACCCCCTACCCCCACCCCCATTCGGTTGGCAGCTCACAACCATTTTTAACTCTAGCTCTGGGGAATCTAAGGCCCTGTTCTGATCTCTGAGGACACTGCATGTGTGTGGTACAAATGCATACAGGCAGGCAAGACATTCATACACATAACATAAAACAATTTTTCTCTCTAAATTTTAAAAAGGGACCGGGTGGTGGTGGCGCATGCCTTTAATCCCAGCACTCGGGAGGCAGAGGCAGGCGGATCTCTGTGAGTTCGAGGCCAGGCTGGACTGACAGCCTCCAAAACAATACAGAGAAACCCTGTCTAGTAAAAAAACCAAAAAAAAAATTTAAAAAGGGAACATCTGGATGCCCCCCCTTTGCCTAGCCTCTGTGAAGGCAGGAATCTCCTTTAGAATAGTATTTTTCTTCTTTCCCTATATGTAAGAAACATTTTGCAGTTGCATGACATAGAGCAGGCATGTGATAGCTACTGAGCAAATGAGTTTAAAAGATTGTAACTTATCCTGATTAATCACCGTGTGCAACATATCACCTGTATAAAAAGAAAGTGTTCACGGTGAGGTGGTTCAATAGGTCAGACCACCTGCCAACAAGTCTATGAACCCGAGTTCAGTCCCTGGGGACAGACCCACAAGGTAGAAGGAAAAAAGTAACTCCCCCAAGTTGTGCTCTGACTTCTACAACAGATGCTTCATGGCATGGTCACACCCCACTAGCCTGCTCACACACAAAAGAATAAAGGTGTAATTTTTATAAAGTGATCACTGGTCACATTACTTTAGCTCGTGTTTCGTAGATGGAAAATATCACAAGCAAATTAAAATAGAAGAGAATGCAACTGGGTTCAGTTACGAGTCACTTTTTAAAGAATACCTTCATGAGACAGTTACGGAAGTTTGGATAGAAGACCCTTATATTAGACAAACTCATCAGGTAAGTGAAATGTAACTTAAATGTACAGTCAGCTGCCTGTGTTTAAGTGTTTCCTATCCATGGATTTGATGGAAGATCAAAAATACTGTTAGAAATCCTATCTGTACTAGCATACACAAACATGATAGTATAACAATAATGTGATGTGTTTACATTGTATTGGGTAGCATAAGTAGTTTAGAGATGATGTAAAGTTCTCAGGAGGGTTGTGTAGGTTCTGGGATGATAGAGCATCATTTAAAACAACAGATAGGGGTGGGGTTGGAGAGGTGGCTCAGATTTTAAGAGCATTGGCTGCTCTTTCAGAGGTCCTGAGTTCAATTCCCAGCAACCAGATAGTGTCTTACAACCATCTCTAATGAGGTCTGGTACCCTCTTCTGGCCTGCAGGCATACATGTGGGCAGAGCACTGTATACATAATAAATAAATCTTACAAAAATAAGTAAAATAAGCCAGGTGGTGGTGATGCATGCCTTTAATCCCAGCACTTGGGAGGTAGAGGCAGGCAGATCTCAGTGAGTTCGAGGCCAGTGTGGTCTACAAAGAGAGTCCCAGGACAGCCAGACTGTTACACAGAGAAATCCTGTCTCAAAAAAACATAGCAAACAAACTTAAAAATAAATAAAGTAATGGTCCTGTTCATGGACCTTGCTGAACCGAGGGAAAACTGTACAAGTTAGTGCTAATCCATCCTAATCCTTTCAGCTGTATAACTTCCTTCGGTTTTGTGAGATGCTGATTAAGAAGCCATGTAAAATAAGAACTATTCACCTTCTCACCTCTGTGGATGAAGTAGGTATCTGAAAAATCTCATTCTTTCTTGACTTACTGCATTCAGTTACAAGTTATCTGGTCCAGTACTTCAGCTAGATGTATTTCCTTGGGAACAACTCACCATGTAGTATCAAGCATAGCATATCTTAAGAGAAAGGCTATTGATTTGAGAGTGTTGAGTCTGAGTAGTTTGTCATTTTAGTATTGGGTGTCAGCGATCATGCAATCTGCACTAGTGACAGTTCTGTCCCTTACTGCATGTATCTGGGATTAGATTGTCGCTGTGTCTCTTTTGATTTTGTCTTAACTAGGAGTGCATCCAAATAATTATAGTTTCCTAAATTAGTCTAAGAAGCAGGTAGTCTCACATGGGTGACTGAATATTAATGCTAAAATACATTTAAGGATGCTGGGCATGGTGCCACATGTCTGGGCGCCTAGCAACAGAGAGGCTGAGGAGGGAGTTGTGTGGTATTCACATGAGGAAAACAATAGTCTGTATAAAAACAGTATATAAAAGAAGAAAAGAATTACCCAGTCTTCAGTTACTTCTTTGAGACGGTAATACTGAAATTAATATAGAATCTTTTCAGTTTAATCTCTCTGTGGTATTCATCATATAGCACATAGATAATTTAAGTTATTAATAACTGAGGAAGTAAATTATGTTTTGTGCCACCAACAGGGGTTTGGGAATACGCAGCAAAGTAGTGGCCTGCAAGAAATAAAACAATCCCTCAGGAGTCACGGAGTGCTGTTGGAAATAAACTATTCTTCATCTATACATGACCGAGAAATTAGGTTAGTATATACTATTTTATTTTTTCCATAGCTGAGACACACCTTAAAAATTCCAATGTAGTAAAATTATATACACATATTTAAATATTAAAACTCAAATCAAGCTGAAACTTAGTAACTTTGCCCTTTGGACAAGAAACCTTGGCTTACCTCTGTAGAGTGAATTTAGTTAATTCCTAATCAAATAATGAGTTCTGAGTCATGAGGGAAGGAGTTCTTTTGTGCAGACCATAGCCAGTGTTCTGGTAGGGGATAATTATTTCCCTGGTGTGGCTTCCTTCCTTCGGTGGTATGTTTTGGTAGTGTGCTATTAATCAGGAAACATACATACATACATACATGCATGCGTGCATCTTCTTAGGGATCATACCAAGATCCCTTCCTTCCCTTTAGCATAGTGGTATTCATATGATACAGCAAAGAAACCCTTGTTTTTATTAAAAAGTTAATCAGAAGCTAACTATGAAAAATGGATGGCAGTGCTGCCATGTTGAAGCAGAGGTCAGGGGCTGGGCTGCCCTTGGGATCCCAATCTCTGTCTCTGCGTAGTGGCACTGTGTTAGTCAGGGTTCTTTAGAGGAACCAAACTTAATGAAGATGTACATATATGGAATGTTTTAGAACAACTCACAAGCTGTGGTCCAGCTAGCCCAGCAAGGCTGTCTGTCAATGGAATGACTAAGAACCCAGTAGTTGTTCAGTCCATGAGGCTGGAAGTGTCAGCTGGTCCTGGGTGTATACCGGAACCCTGAAGAAGGAGGCTGTGATGCCAGTGAAGGAATGGACTAGCTAGTGAGAGTGAGAGCAAGCAGGCACAGAGGGCAAGCTTCCTTCTTCCATGACCTTTGCATAGGCTGCCACCAGAAGGTGTGACCCAGACTAAAGATGGATCTTCCCACTTCAAATAGTTTTGATATTGTTGTGGTTTCATTGTTCGTTTGGGTTTTTGGTTGTTTGTTTATTTTCAAGACAGGGCTTCCCTGAACGTTAGGGAACTCATAGAGATCCTCTTGCTTCTGCCTCCTGAGTGCTGGTTTTAAAGACATGTGCCACCATGCCTGGCTTCCACTTAAAATACAATTAAAGAAATAAAATCCCCCAGAGGTGTGCACAGCCATTTGTGTTTTAGTTAATCCCAGATGTAGTCAGGTTGAAAACTGAACTAGTCATCACACGCACCTTTGAAATGTCACCACACTTGTCATGAATGTCCTTTGCAAACCACTTATTCGAAGAGAAGAAGAGCTTGAGCAAGCTGAATTCAAAAGTAGCTTACCATTTAATGGTTAAGTTCTTTCTCAGCCAATCAGATTAGCTGATGGTGTTTAATGCTCCTTTTGTTTTCCTTATAGACTGAGCTTGGGACTAACCCCAGGTTTGATTCAGCTTATGCTTTTCTTTGTTTAGGGGAAAAGCTTGATGATTTTTAACCAACTCTGGCTTTAAAAACTAACTCAAATGTCTTGGATATAATACTAATCACTAATTTTAATAGGTTCAACACTGGGTGGATGTTTAAAATTGGAAGGGGACTTGATTATTTTAAGAGGCCACAGGTAGGATATGATTATTTTTTATCTTCTGTATTACGTCTTGACTGAAGTTTCCCTCTCATTTCTTCTTCCAGCCCCTCCTCCCACGTCCCCTCTGCCCCAGAGCCACTCTTCCTCCTTTCCCTTCAAGGATGTGATTTTATGATTAACTGTGAGCACTGTTTTCTTGTTTGTTTTGATGAACTCCTGGGCTCTTAGCCTTCAGAGTGGCTTGGCTTTTCATGTGTGTCATTTTTAACAGTACTCTCTTTTCTTCATAGGGTCGTTTTTCCCTTGGATATTGTGATTTAGATCTGAGACCATGCCATGAAACAACAGTGGACATTTTCCATAACAAGCACACGAAAAAAATGTGATGTGTGATGACCTAGCTATACATTTCTGCTTTAGATGGTTTCAGCCCATTTTCTGTTACTAAAACTGAATACCATACACTGGATGATATGTAAAGAATAGAGGTTTAGGCTTTGGCATCTGGGGAGGATCTTTTTTCTGCATCCCACGTGGTGTAACGATGCAAGATGGATCAGGCTTTGCAACAAAGCTTGTGAGGCAGAGCCAGCCACCTCAGAGGTCTCGCTTCGCAACACTGCTGTACTAGGGTCCAAGATTCAACTCATAAACCTTTGGGAACATATTCACACCATAGCAAGCAAATACTGAGCTTGTTTCTTTTTCCCTTTTTTTTTAAACTTTGAATATATTTTTATAATGTATGAATTTAACAATAAATGTTTACATTTCTACAGATTTCTGGATCTGTAAATATACTGCTCAGTAGATTTGCGTGCTTTTTTAAGTCATGGAATTAACTGAAAGATTTTACCAGCTTCTGATTCTTGGAGAGTAGGTCAGTAAGTATTGCACAGTTGTTATGAGGACAACTGGATGTTAATCTTGCTCCCGGGAGTTTAGAGTTCCAAAATGAAAATCACAGATTACAGTGCTTGTAAGAGACAGATGGACCGAGGGCCTCATAATGAGAAAAAAAAAAAGTACATGTGGCTGAAGATGTAGCCCAGAGTGTAGCACATACCTAGTGTGTGCCCCTCCTGGCTTTGTCTCTGGCACCGCAAACAAGCACAGTGGTTACAGTTAAGACAGTTGTCAGCCAGGCTTGATGGGGCATTGTTGTAATCCAGCACCTAGGAGGCAGAGGCTGGTGGATCCAGAATTCAGGGTCATTCTAGTCTTTCTAGAGAACTTGAGGCCAACCTGGACTACGTGATACCTTGCGCCCAAAAACAAAAATAAATGATAGCCTTTGGGAGATGTTCTCTGGCTTTCAGATGTCCAACATTACAGAGCTCCATAAAGTCAACTCACCCTGTTTAGTTATCCTCATGTAACTGTCCTGGCAGGGCCCAGATGCTCTAAAGAGAGACTGTTCTACCCATCCCTGTGGCTGTTAGACTGATGAAATAATGGTCCTCCAATAAATTGGCATTTCCCTAGGAATCTCATGCTGGGAGAAGGTAAGACTGTAGCTGTGGTACCAGCCAGAGGAGGACCTTGTCACCCAGGAAAAAAAAATCTCTTTCACACAGTTCTGACAAGGTGCCTAGACAATGAGAAGCCAGTGACAGCCACATCCCCAGGAAGCTGTTGCCCTATTTTTGTTGTTGTTTTGTTTTTTATTTTCCATGAACAAAACTTGTTGGAGGTGTTGTTTTGCATTTACTCACCAGAAGTTCCACTCAACTTCATTCACTGTTGGCTGCTGTCCAGAGCACTGCAGTGAGGTCATTAAGGTTGGGAGGAACCATTATACCACCATACTCCATGGGTGCTTTCCTTCTTAGGACTGGGCGTTCACTTTGTAGCAAAGGGTTGGTCTCAGAATGGTGGTTTTCCTGCCTCCGCCCCTGAATGCTAACACTTGGGTATGTGCATCATGTCCAGCTCTGAATGTGTACTTTTAAAAGTTATGCTTAAGTTATCAGCATATGATAGTTATACAATGGGATGTGTTTCACTGTGGCATTTTCATGTGTATATTACAGAATCATACCCATTTCTCCGTTCTCATTCTTAATCCCCATCTTTTCCTAATGGGTACTTTTGAAATTTTATAGTAGTTGGTGTTTCAGTTACGTTGGACCCAGTTGGCCACTCTTGTTTTGAAATTCCGTTTTCTGTAAGCACCCATCTCTGCCTTTCTTTTTAAATATGAGAGTTGAGTGCAGCTGGGGGTGCAGGTGAGTAATGCATGTTCTTAGCATTCATGGAGTCTGGGTCAGGCCTCAGAACAAAACCAAACTTAAGTGCTTAGTACTCTCCTAAACCCAGTCTGTACTCTGTTCCTAAATGATTACACCAAGGGGAATTCTCAGTAAAGAACATCAAAAACTGTTACTTGAGATGAGCAAAATATAAAAGATTTATTATAGGGAGGGAGCAGACCACCATGAGAGCTACAGATTGAGATGTGGACACTTGCATGAAAATTGCAACTTAAAGCTAAATGTTATGTGTGCTCCCTCTAAAAACCATTTTTCACTCTAATTTTAGTCTGATATGTTCAAACACCTCTTTACTAAGCTTGTCAGTTCCTGAGGTCAGAGGACATGTATGTGAACATCAGCCAACATAGGACTTGGTATACAGTGGACACTCAATAAATATACAGTACTGTGGGGGTAAAAGTGTGGGGATGGCTTAGTTGTAGAGTTAAGAAGCAGGAAGCAGCCAACAGTGGTGTTTTGGAGTAAAAAAAAAGTTGGAAAAGTAAAAACATAAGGACAGGACAGGAATCTTATCAGGAATGTTTGGGGATACACTATTGCTGATTCACTCTGGCTAAAGACCCAATGAATAGGTTGCCAGGTGGTGGCACATGGCTTTAATCCTAGAATTTGGGAGGCAGATCTCTTGAGTTCAAGGTTAGCCTAGTCTACATAATGAGTTCCAGGACAGCCAGGGCTACACAGAGAAACCATGTCTTAAAAAAAAAAAAAAAAACCAAACAACAACAAAAAAAGAAAGCCCAAAGACAAGATAACACATTTATGAATCATTGGTCATGGGGTTACATATCTTTAATTAAGGGTCAGAAGCAGGCAGATCTCTTGAGTTTGAGGCCAGCCTGGTCCAATCTTATGTTCTAAATATCACAGAAACTATCAATATAAAGAAAGTCACTCAGGATCACATTATTCCCCTGATTTTTTCACACAGAATATTCCATTTTCTATGTAAGTGCTGGTCATCTGGACAAGTTCTCAGTAATATATTTGTTAGCAGGGTGGTTTCAGTGGGGCAGAATTTGCTGCCAATAAAACTTGAGTTTAATTTGTTACCTATTTCCAGTGGCAACCAATGATCAGGTGTTTTTATATCACAGGTTTCAATGAGTCCATTCTTTACATCCATGAACACTTGAACTTCCAAGTGTGCCTGCTCATGCGGCACATGAAATGTGGTGTTCACGCTAAACTTAGGAGTCCGGCCGTATACCCACTCCCAGCTTTGTAGTTCTTTAGCTTTGCTGTTTATTCCAGGGAACTGTGTCTCATCTGCTGGGTTTATTACGTTAACGTGATTGTCAATTTGATGGTGGGCAGCGTACTCTGCAGCAATGGCACTCATCAGAACTTCACAGGTCAGCGAGGGATCTTTTTCCCGAAGATTTTTGACTACGGAAGGGATGCTGGGAGTGGCATGGCTCTTTATCCCTTGGTATGGGCTCTTCAGCAAGGAAGACAAAGCTGTCCTGTTGGTACTGCATAACAAGGTGCAATGGTGATAGGCGGCAACCCGGCCAATCTTTGATGCAGTCCCTGAGATCTTATACTGCCCATCGAGTAACAGGTCAAATTTTTTGGTAGGCTGCACGTCCAAGTGGGGTTGGACAGCATTCAGAGCTCTGACAGTTAGTTTCAGATTTTCCATTCTGTCGTACTTAGCTTTGGTGGTAAAGAAGGTCAGGTTGATATTACCCATGTCATGGTACACTGTTCCTCCTCCACTCCTCCTCCGAGCCAGCTTTACACCTTCCTGTCTCATCAAATGGAGGTCACATTCCTGCCATGGGTTCTGGTGCCTACCGATGACAACGCAGGGAGAATTTCTCCAAAGGAAAAGAATTGGCTTGCCTTCTAGATGTATGTGGTCATGGATCCAGTCTTCTAAAGCCAGATTTTGATACACATCATTGGAGATCGACTGTAAAATGAGCCCATGTGTTGCTGGGTTTCTAAAGGCAGCTGTTGGGATCTTGTGGTGACAAAGTAACTGGAAGCAATTCTTCATTGAAAATGGGATTAGCATGCCTTTAGAAACAAAGCAAAAGAAGACAAAATTAATTCAATGAGAAGAAATTAAATTCTATCCTTTAGTTATTCTGTTCTTTAGTCATCTGTGAGCCACTGTGTAAGTACTGAGGATGGAATCCAGGTCTTCTGGAAGAACAGCCAATGCTACTGATGGCTGGACCACTCACTGCTCTAGCCCATCTTTAGTCATTTGCTGATTATTCAAAACCCAGGGTCCAGACCAGTTCCTTTCCTTTCCTTTCAGCTTTACCCTTAGCCTTGAACAGCTCCATAGAAGAGTACTCAAAGGAAATCAATGAAGATAAACTTTAATGTCAACTAAAATGAAATAAGAGGACACTTTCCATATAGTGAGTATGGAGTAAATTAGTAATGAACAACAAAGCCAAATAATTTATTTTTGAATTCACAATACATTTTCATTGAGAAAAATAATAGATTATCAAAAAGAAGAAAGTGAAAGAATCTAGAAGTCTATCACCTGGAGATAATCAATATTTTGGTATAAACAACCTGTTTTACCGGGCGTTGGTGGCATACGCTTTTAATCCCAGCACTCAGGAGGCAGAGGCAGGCGGATCTCTGTGAGTTCGAAACCAGCCTGGTCTACAGAGCTAGTTCCAGCACAGGTTCCAAAACAACACAGAGAAACTCTGTCTCAAAAAAAAAAAAAACCCAAAAAAACAAAACAAAAACCAAAACAAAAAAAAAAAACCAACCTGTTTTATTTCTGTCCATGTGTATATGCTTTCACACATACACATTTTCCCCTAAAAGTGTATGATACTGTTATTTCAAGCAACCTCCCCTACCCTGAGATGAGACACCACTATTTTACCCATTTGACCTTGAACCTCTGGGTTCAAATAGTCCACTTGCTTTACCTTCAACTTGAGTATAGACATACGCTACCATTCCTGGCTTTCACTTAACATTAAATTTATTTTTATATCAGCTTTTTTTTTTTTTTTTTGCTTTTTTTGAGACAGGGTTTCTCTGTGGCTTTGGAGGCTGTCCTGGAACTAGCTTTTGCAGACCAGGCTGCTCTCAAACTCACAGAGATCTGACTGCCTCTGCCTCCCAAGTGCTGGGATTAAAGGCATGTGCCACCACTGCCTAGCTTATACCAGTTTTATTTTATTTGTGCACATACATTTGTGCATGCACAGGTCAGAGGTCAATGTTTCGAGTCTCTTCTATCATGCTCCACTGTATTCTTTGAGACAGGGTACTGACCCGGAGCCCCGTGATTGTCTAAGCTCCCTGGCCAGATATCCTCTTCTACAGTGATCCAAGAGAGGAACAGTGAAGAAAAGTTGTCAGGATGTGTTGAATACAAATAAACTAGAATGTGTTCATGGAAGTTGGGATTTGAAAAAGACCTTGTGACATCCTTTCCTAAGGTTAAGATTGCCACTCTTACTTGGGAGGCAGAGGCAGGTAGATCTCTGTGAGTTCGAGGCCAGCCTGGACTAC